TTCTTTGTCTAAGTATTTACTGAAACCAACCATTCTCTGTTTCTGGCCTACAGATACGCCCTTTATTATATTGTCAGCCAGGACTGGCAACTGCTCCACAATAGCCTTTGCTAGCTCTATGAGTGGCTCCCTAAGAGGCTGAAATGCAAGTGCGGGAGAAGGGCTAGGAGTGTGGAGAACAGGAAGCTGGCACCACCACAAAATGGCTGCCAAGTGCTGACACCGGTCACAAAACGTTGGGAGGTTGCAAGCCATGCATCGTCCTATGATGGAGGTACCTGTTTCTGAATGGTCTCTGCAGATACCTCTCGAGCTCTTTTGAAGCACTTTCTATTACAATGAAGTAAAAGAAAACCAGGATGGGCTCTTGGCTTTGGAGAAGAAACAACTGAGTGCCAGGCATCCCACCGGTAGGCACCACATGGGAGATCACTGCCACAGGCCCTTGGCAGAAGTGAAACCCAACTCCAGAGCAACCTCCAGTGCACAGACTCACGCCGCACAGGCTTTTCTTGCAAACCAAGAAGCAAGGCAGGCAACTCCACACCCTCCCCTTGGCAGCTTGAACTGTTCTTTGCCCTTAGGAAGTTGCTCCGTCGGCTTCACCCAGTTGCACCTTCCTTCGCTGAAATCCTTTGTTGCGTTCTTGCCTGACTTCAGCAGAAAACACGGCGTCTCCCAGCTCCCCTTCGCCACATGGGCAAAAGCCACCTGAAAGTGAGACCTCAGGGCCAGGCGCACTCTTCTGCTGAGTCAGTGTGAGTAGTTGGCTCTAGCTAGGCTGAGTCACAGGCAGGCCCTGTTTACCCTGGGTGGGGCACCGGAGAGGGCTGTTCCCCAAGTGGATCTCCCTTCAAAGCTCTCCTATATGCGTGACCTTGGTTTTCATACTAGTTCTCAACCGCCAGAAGCTTTTACTCTGCACAAGCTGAACACTGTGGCATCTACTTTTTCTACACGCCTCTGTGAGGGCAACCAGTGTGTTTCCCAGAGCAAGCTAGTGTACACACTATTGCCCCATGCCCCTTGTGCAAAGATGTGGCATGTGGGAATGGTGTGCCACATGTGCTCTGGACTTGGAAGAAAAGAAAGCAAATGGGACAGGAGACATCTGGGTCAGTGCTGTCGGCATTAAGATAATGCAATCCTTGCAAGATTTACATGGCGTTCTCAGGTGAAAAGGTTGCACCCCATACTATTGGGCTAAGCTTTTGCATCATATATATTAGAAATATTTTTAAAAATAATTTAAAATATTCGTTATCCTGTCATACACATACCAGCCTGGAAAATAGGTAACATTAAAAACAACAACAAACAAGAGCAGCAGCAAGAACAATAAAAACTGGGAACAAACTGCATCAGATTGCGATTAGGAAGATGTTGAAACCTCTTTAAAAAGACTTAAAAAGGAGCTGCGGTGGCTCAAGTGGTTAAGACGCTGAACTGCAGGCTGTGGAAGGTCGGTAGTCCAGCAGTTCGAGACCTGAGTTGCCTCATGACGGAGTGAGCTCCCATCTCTAGTTCCAGCTCCTGCCAACCTAGCAGTTTGAAAGCAAGAAATTGCAAGTAGATAAATAGGTACCACTTTGGTGGGAAGGTAACAGCGTTCCGTGCGCCTTGGTGGTTAGTCATGCCGGCCACATGACCACGGAAACGTCTTCGGACAGCGCTGGCTCTTCGGCTTTGAAACGGAGATGAGCACCGCAACCCTAGAGTCAGATTCGACTGGCTTTCGAGCAAGGGAACCTTTACCTTTTTAAAAAGACTTCATAAAGACCAGAGAAACTTTCTACAAGAGGGATCCCCAACAGGCAGTGGTAGGGTTCTCAGGTCACCCCGGATCACTAGTGGGGGATGGGGGAGTAGGGTTGCCAGATCCAGGCTGGGAAACTCCTGGAGATTTGGAGGTGCAATTTGGGGAGGACAGGGACCTTGGTGCCACCCTCCATTTTCTACAGGGGAACTGATCTCTGTAGTCTGAAGATGAGCTATAATTCCAGGGGATCCCCAGGTCCCACCTGGAGGCTGGCATCCCTAATAGTGGGCACAACAAAATGGCTGTCATGAGGGAACTAATCACAAAATGGTTTCCATGGGGGGTGGGTCCAATTAAAAAAATCTTAGGAAGTTCAGAGCCAAGTGTCCTGCAGTGATGGAGGCAGTTGTATCCAAGCAGATGATACCTGCTGGGCTCTTCATAAGTACCTCATTCTCCAGTGAACTTCTGGTGATGATCTTATTCAGTGGACAGGCTCAAACACAATGAGATGTTCCTTCAAGTAGTCTGATCCCAGACCCTGAAGAGCTTTGTGGGTAACCACCACCATTCTGAATTGTGCCTTGAAGTGAAACATAGAGCTCTTAAAACTAGGAAGATATGGTCCTTGTAACTAGTGCCTGCTTGTAGTCTAACTGCTACATTCTGAACAGTCTTCAAGCGCAGACCCACATAGGATATATTGCAGTAGCCCAACCAGAATATAATTAGATCAAAGATAACTGTGACCAGATGTGTGCCTTCCTTTATTCTGAATGGTATGTTACCTTATCCTGTAGCCTTGAAGTAGTTACTACCCATTTCTAATGTACACTGAGAACTATATCAAGTTCAGGCCCCTTCCAAGGGCTCACAGCACCAAAAAAATGACACAGCAGATTATAAATTATTTTGGTTCTACACAGTAGAGTAAAATCACTCCAGTATGGTACAGTAAAGAGACTACTGGGTGTGGACTAGGGAGACCTGGTTCAAACCTCTCCTCAACCATCCAGCTCACTGTGAGGTGAAGGACGGTGTCTTAAACCAATCTATCTCACAGGATTGTTGTTAAAAGCAGCAAGGAAAATCCTGAGTTCCTTAAATGGAATGTAAATATGAGGATGATTGATATTTGACTGCTTGTTAAGAACCAATCAAAGGGAAAAGACCGGATATCCAGAAACACTCTAACTTTGGTGAAGTAACTTCTCTGGAATTTATGCAAATATAGCATCCAAAATGAGAGACTTCTAGGGGTTCAGGTCTGCTCAGAAGCCCCACCACACCTTCATAAGTATGCAGACACTCACAGAATTTTCATTCCCACAATCATGGTCCAAGGTCTGGTATGAAGAAAGGGAAGTGGGGTGGGTCAGCTCCTTGTTAATATATTTTGGAGATATTCTTTCACACATAACAGATATCATTTTCTTGGACCCTCCCATCTGGCTTTCGGGAATCTCTAGGCAAGAGCCAGTCACTTGGTTGCTAAATTTGGGGCGATGTATTCCCATGATGGACACGTCCACCCGGGATGACGCTGGAGCCTGTTTGGGATCAGTTTACGGGGTGCTTATTTATACCCTCTGAGCTGGAAGTCAAGTATGCAAGAGGGGACGAGGGGAAGCTGCAGACAAGGTGGGTGAGGACAAAATGAAGGGGAAGGAGGATTCAGAGACCTCAGACTGGGCTCATGAGGAGGACAAGAAGGCCTGAGATGGGGGGGGGGCACAACTTCCAAGGGGCTGAAAGGATGCTAAAGTGGCATTTAAAACAGAGCAGCAAATCTTACCCTATGGCCACCGTGTCACATAGTGACTGTCAGAATCCTGCCCCCCCCCCCCGCAATAAGCCACTTTCAACAAAATTGTGGATGGTGGATAGTAGCTGCATACATTGGGAATCTTGAGGCAGGTCATATTAGTGTGGGACAGCAGAATGCCCAGATATGGTTCCCAGTGGGTCTTTAGGTCCCTGGCATTCAAAATAAAAGGGGGAGGGGAAATCCAAGGCCTTATGGAATAAAATCAGAGCAATGCCATAGATTAGAGCTGAGGGGAATTCACCTTTATATATTTACTTTATTTATATCCTGCCTTTATCCCCAGTGGGGACCCAAAACTCTTTATGTCATTCTCCTCTCTTCCTTTCTATCCTCGCAACAACCCTATGAGGTAGGTTAGGCTGAGCGTGCAAGTGACTGGCCCAAGGTCACCCAGCTAGCTTCCATGGCAGAGTGGCGATTCGAACACAGGTCTCCCAGATCATAGTCTGACATTCTAACCACTATACTATGCTGGCCTTTGGTTCAATCACTGTTGTTCTCCCTCACAAGGTTGTTGTTGAGGACAAATGGAGAAAGGAGAACTCTGTCTGCTTCCCTGGAGGAAGGGTGGGATAAAAATGTGATATAATATGTATCCCCTGCTCTTATATGGGAGGGAGAGAAATACCTTGTGCAAACCTCCAGAGTCTTCCTTATTTATTCTCTCACATACTGTTGGCCTCGATCCTCCAGGAAAGCTCAGCTCAGCAGCATTGCTGGCTTAGCTATTGAGTATATACACATTGCTGAGGGCTGGCTGGTAGCAGAGCCAGGGTGCCAACTGGCCAGGATCCCACCTCCTTGGCCGCTCGCCCAAGAAAGAGAAAGTACAGCCAGGAAAGAGAAAATGAATCCAGTATTTTTGTTATTTTTCCATTTCCAAGAAGATGCAATTTTAAAAACAAACACGGGCGGGGGGGGGGGTACAAACAAAAGCCATAGCTGTTTCTCAGCCCAGCCCAAGCACTTTGTACATGCTCAAAGGCACTCCTTCCTTAACACGGTTTACCGTTTAAAGCTGCTACTTGCTCAGAGGAGAACAGCAATCTGCGCAGGCAGATTTTTAAAAAGTCCTTTTTAAAAAGTCTGCTTAGGGAAGAAACACTCTGTGCATGGTCAGAAACACTCCGCTCAAATGCCAGATTATATCTCTATATATCGCTAAACAAAAGGTGACCCAGCCGAGGGCAGAGAGATGGCCAGCCCCACAGTCCCTACCGCCGCCCTCCAGTGTTGACTCGCGAGGCGGGAGGGGGGAGTCACTGTCAGCTGTTGCCTCCCTCCGCACTCCCTTCCTCCCCCGCTCCGCCTTCTCCGCTTGAGGTTCACACCCACAGCCGTTCCGCCTTTACCATTAGCGGATTGCTACCTCTCCCCCCCCCCCCCCCCCCCCCCGGCCGGGGCTGGATTCGGCAACTTTCTTGCACCACCAACTTCCTTCTCTGTGCCTGCAGCCTAGACGGGCGGCGGCTTCTTCGCTAGTCCCGTCGTAGACTTGGGGAGAGACGGAGATGGGGGCCAGGCGAGGAGGCGGCGGCGGCGGCCGGCTGTGAAGAAGGCGAACCAGCCACCGAGCGGACCGCGGCAGCCGGCGGGGACAGGAGGAGGGCTGGACCATGAGCTCGGTCTGGAAGAGGCTCCAGCGCGTCGGGAAGCGAGCGGCCAAGTTCCAGCTCGTGGCCTGTTACCAGGAGCTCGTCGTGGAATGCACCAAGAAATGGTGAGAGCACCAGAAACTGGTGAAACGGGACGGGGAGAAGGGGTGGGGACTGGAGCACTTGTGAATGCACAGGGAAGAAGGGGGCGGGGCGAAGAAACCAGGCAGCAGGAAGTGGAGCACGAGGACTGGTGAATCGGGCGCGTGCACCGTAAAGGGCGGGGACCGGAGCACTTGTGAATGCACGAGGGAAATGTGGGGGCGGGGCGAAGAAACCAGGCAGGGGGAAGTGGAGCACTAGGACTAGTGACTGGGTACGCGCACCATGAAGGGCGTGTTGGTACAAGTAAAAAAAGCATTAGTTTATAATATTTATACAGTGTTCTAAACAGTTCAATACTGTTTGTGTACATCAATGCTTAAATTTGTACACCCACCTTATAAGGTAGGCCACTATTAGTGATAAATTATAAGATGGCGGAAGACAGGAGGGCCTGGCGTGATCTTGTCCATGGGGTCTCTAAGAGTCGAGACTGGACAACAACAACAACAACAACATAACCCCAAATAGTAGCTAGGAATGCTGAAAGAACATAAGAACTCTTGGAGACCAGTGGTACATCTTCAAGTCCAGCATCTTGTTCCACACAGAGATAAGGCAAAGAAACAGGGTATAAGAGGGCAAGATTGTCCCCTGATGTTGCCTTCCATTGCTGGTATTCAGAGTTTTACTGCTCCTAAACATGGAAAGTTATCTCATTAAAGACGTAGTGACTGAGAGTTTTCATAAGTGCAAGGTGATGCATAATGGAACAAAAATTTTTTTTCTAACTTTAAATATATGCTGTTGGTTTCTGAATTGACTAAGATCAAAAGCTGTAAAAAGTACAGAAGAGGGCAATCAAGACAATCAAGGACCGGAGCATCTTTTTTTTTTTGAGGAAAGGCCAAAGAGTCTGGGACTTTTGGGAAAGCTAAGGGAGGACATGATAGAGGTTTATAAAATTATACATGGCTTGGAGAAAGCAGATAGCGTTCCCCTGCCCTCTCATAATGCTAGAACTTGGAGTGGGGGAGGGCACTCAGTGAAGTAGATGGCCAATAGGTATAGGATGGACTCAGTGAGTAATTAAATTGTGAAAATTGCTGGCAGTGGAGGTAGTGATGGCCACAGGCATAGATGGCTTTAAAAAGGAGTTAGATTCGTGGAGGAGAGGTTCCATCAATGGCTACTAGCCGTGATGAGCAAAAGGAACCTCCATATTCAGAGGTAGTAAGCCTCTGAATACCAGTTCCAGGAGGCAACATCAGGAGAAGGCTTTGGCCTCTGTGCCCTGTTGTTGGCCCTCTGGAGCATCTGATTGGAATACTGTGAAATGGCATGCTGGTCTGATCCAGCAGGGCTCTTATATTTTTATGAAAAGAGGGATTTGGATCTTTGTGGGTTTTGTGGTTGATGGTACAGGCCCAGCTTCCGACATCAATCTAGTGAGGAGCAAGGTCTGGGCTTGTTATGCATTTGCAGAATACCGGGTTGAGGTGGAATTTACGTGTTAGGAAGCAGGGGAGGGTAAATGTACATTGGGGGTGAATTAGCTGGGTGTGCTAGAAATGATACCCCAGGGACTAAGGAAAGGGGGAGACCTCGGAGTTATAGGGATCCTGCAGGTAGGATTTGTAAGCCGCCTTGAGTTCCTGTAAGGTAGACAATCAGCTAGTAAATGTTTCAAATAAATAAATATGTGTGCTGGGGCAAAGGGGCCAAATGCACAGTGGCAAATTAGAGAGGAAGATGTTTTGAGGAAGGGAGAAGGTCAGTGTTGGGGTAGAAATGCAGTTCCTTGCACCCTTGGCCAGTATTACAGGGCAGGACCCAAAGTGAATTTTCAGCTGGTTGGTCTCCTCCAACATCTGCCGGTATAGATGGATGGCTCGTATCTGTGGTGGATGTATATGTGTAAGGATAAAGGACCACAGTTTCTTCTTTGTTTTGGGGAGGAGGGAATGGACTGGAGTCCAATTCTAGCAGCTGAGTGCCATGCCAAGGAGCAACTCTGCCGGTAGTCGCACAAAACCAGGAAGCAGAGCTAACCAACAAAATTAGTTTGTAGCCACCCTCTCTACAGACAAAATTGCTTAACACTATCAGATTTCTGGTCTTGCTGCCCTGGTGATGTCTGTGTGCTGGCTGACACCAGCTCCCCAGGGCCTCCAGAGAGGTTTTCCCGGCGTAATCTTCGTGGGGGCGGCGGGGCGTAAGCCCCCGCCGCAATTTTCAGGAAGGTGCTCAGCCTCCCCCGCGAGCG